GGAGCCTCGGCAAGAGGGGGCCCGAGCGGAATGGCGCGCGCGAAGCCCAGGGCCTCATGCGGGCCCTCCTGGGCCGACTCAAAGGCGCGCTGATTGAGGCGCCCACGGGTCTTGACAATGGCATCTGGTGGGCCGACTTGTGCAAGGCGGGATCCAGGAGGGCAGGGCACTTGCACCAGCGGTTGCCATTGGTCTCACGTTCGGCCCCGCACGCGAGTCAACGAGCATTGGGCGCCAGCCCTCTCTCAAACTTTTTCTGCCTCAGACGCGCTGTAGCGAACCACGTTCGGAAGGCTCTCGCGCGGGCTTCTCCGCGCGCCGTCGTATGCCGCGACGCCGCTCTGCTCGCCGTTGTGCCCCGCGATGTGGGCCTGGGCACGCGCCAACAGCCGGCGCGCGGAACCCTGGGCGACCTGGATGCGGATATCCTGGGCGCCATCTCTTGCAGGTTCAAGTCAGTGCCGAGATCGGACTCGAACGTGGTGGCCGAAGTGAGCCGCCAGCCGATCTTGTTCAAGGTGAGCCACAGGGCGCCCAGCGGTCATCGCACGCGGCCCCAGCTTGGCCAGGGCCGCATCTGCGCGTCCACGACAGCCCAGGCATCTCGTCGGGCCTGCAACTCCACTTCGGCCTTCCCACAGCATGGTCGAGTACAAGAAGACGATGTTGGCGGTCGCCGCGCATAGGGGGCAGCGCAGCGGTTGGTCCTGCATCTGCATGCCCATGCAGATGCTGCCCGCGGGGCGCACCCCAGCCAGCATCGCCGCAGCGGAGCGGGTGGGCCTCGCCACCGCGTCGGCAAACCCGCTGACCGAGGCCCCATGGGTGACGGACGGCGTCGGGCCTGCCGCCTGAATGTGCGTCATGCGCCTGGGCCCGACCGCTTTCTTGCGGATCGTGGAACGGCGTGCCCGACTGCGAAGCTGTTCGAGTCTGGCGACCTCTTGTCGCCGTCGCACCTTGGGCCCTGCCAGCTCATGCCCGAGGTTGCGGATCCACGGCGGCCCTGAGACATGCCTGGCGCGCGCCGCCAATCTGAACTCGGCCGAGGCGCGGCCGGAGGGGGCCGCGTATCCGAGCATCTTGATCTGAATGGGCGGCTTGAGGTCCTCGAGCTCGAACGCGGGCTGGTCGATGCCCTCGCCGAGCTCTCGGGCGCGGCGCCCGGCCTGCCCCGGCCACAGCAGCAGCGCGTCGCCCACCGGCTGCGTGGACTTCAGCGAGGGGCAGAGCGCGCTAAGGCGCATCATGGCCCTGTGCATCAGCGCGGCCAGGAGCGCGGCTGCCTGGGCGCATCCCGCCACGATGCCCTGGGACGACTCGCTGCCGCGCGCGCGGACCACTCGAGACCGTCGGTGCAGATGGACCGGCAACTATACCAGACGCGGTGGAAGGTTCCCCTCGATCGCCTCTCGGACGAGGAACTCAGGCGCCACTCTTTCACAGAATTTGGGCAAGTCCACCACCCAGGTAATCGCGTCGAGCTGCCTGGCCAGCGCTATCTCCATCGTGAAGTTGCATGAGAAAGCCGAGGCTGGCGAACTCCTGCCTGGGCCGAGCCCCCAGGCGTGCTCCTCTCTGCGCGCGGCCTCCCAGCGCGCGGCCAGCGGGCGACGGGCGCGGCTCCAAAGACGAAGCGCTGCGTTCAACAATCCAATTCATCGCGCGCCTCCGCCCGCCATTGGGGGGCGGACGGGCGCCCTCGCTAGGCGCTCTGGCGGCCAGCCGGGACGGTGCTCGCAGGCGTGGAAAAGGAGGGGCAGTGCCAGCAGCGCCTGGTCGGAGAGAACGTCGAGCTGCCTCGGGTGGAAATCTATCTGCCCGACTGCCGCGTCCTGCTCGAACGTTATGATGGCCGCCCTGAGATCGCGCGCCGACAGGTGTGGTAGTGCTGTCCAGCTGCTGGCGCCAGCGGGTAGAGGGGCCTCGCCGAGCTCGCGGTACTCCCATGAGACCTTCCAGTCGCTGAGCTCGGTGTCCGCCAGGTCGCAGGGGCGACCGCTCTTGTTCCCCCTCTGGACTTCTACCTCCTGCTTGGGTCTGGCGACTCGATGCGCCGGCCCAACTCCGCCCGAGAAGGCGTCCTTGGCCTGGGTGGTCCAGGCCTTGGTGCACTTCGCCTCGGCATCCGCTGTGAGCTCCTTGAATGCTGATGCTGATCTGGGACTGGGACTGCAGCGAGCTCATCGCGAGCATATCAGGGCCAGCATGGAACACGTCCCGAGCCTTGTTGTCCAGCTGTGCGAGGGCATGCGTCTGCTTGCCGGCGCGCGCACTGAGCGCCTCGAACTTGAAGATGAGGCCTCGGGCAGCACCCAGGGGGGCGAGGCGGATGGGGCCCTGCGGGCGCGATCTCCCGCGCGCTGGTCCATCTACGCGAGCTGCTCCTCAAAAGCGCGGAGGTGCATGTCCGCGGCCTCCGCCCAGTCGCCCTCGTTGCTGGCGAAGGCGCGCTCGATGGCGTTCTCGACTGCGAACACCTGCTCGCCAAACCGCCTCGCGCATCTCTTGCAACGGCGACTCCTGCGCGCCACCAGTGGGATTCGCCGCCTCCCCGCCACCACTCAGCACCCTCCCGCAAAAGGTCGAAGGGTGGGCCCCTGAGCTGCTCGGCGGTGCATGCCGCGCACCACTCCATCCAGTCGTCGTTCACCTCCTGCTCGGCTTCCTATTCGTTGAAAGGGTCGCCGATCCAGTTCTGCGTCTGCTGACGAATCTCACGTTGGAGCGCCTCCTGCCGTCGTCGGGCTGCCGCGAGGTCGGGGTTCCCGCCGCGCCCAGCAAGGGCAATGCGAGGTCTGGGGCCGGGCGCTCCAGGACTTTGCGAACTGACGCCCGTGGCGACCGAACCTGGTAGCCCCAATGGCACACCAGGATTTTGCATGATGACGCTAGTGGAGTCTGAACATGGGATTCGAGGGTGCGTGGTGCGTCCGTCGTGCTCGGCTGTGCTCGCTACTCTGCCCAGTCGCCCCCCCACGCCGCCAGGGACAAGGTTTTGTGCGAGGACATCTCCACCCCGCCGACGTGAGCCCCGCTCGGACTTACGGGGAGGGCGACGGTGCGAACGTCGCACCACCTCACCAAACCGCCGTCAGCGGTACCATGCGCGAGGGCATCGACCACCCCCACCTCTGTGGGCCTCGCTCGGACTTGCAGGGGGGGGGGGGGGGCGTCGGGGCGAGCGTCGCAGCGCCTCGCCGCGCCGCCGGGGGGGAGGTCGCGCGCGAGGGCGTCGGCCACCCCGCCGCTGTGGGCCCCGCTCGGGGGGGCCCACGCGGATACAAGTTACGCTGGCTCAAAATAGATATCGCAATATTTGGAGGGCTGCGATCTGCGGAGCTGTCGTCACTTTTGAGTGTTGCTGCGGGGTCCAGCGGAACGGTGCCCCACGCTGGCTCAAATTAGACCTCGCCATCCCTGGGGGGCCGCGGTCGACAAAACTTGCTGCCACTTTCGAGGGTTGCTGGGGGTCCAGCGGGGCGACGTCCTACACGGACTCAGACTACGCGTCGCCATCCCTGGGGGCTGCGATCTGATTTGCGGAGCTATCGCCAGTTTCGAGGGCTGCTGGTGGGCCACTGGGGCAGCTTCTTAGACAAATTCAAATTATATCTCGCCATCCCTGGTGGGCCGCGGTCTGCGAAGCGACCGCCACGTTTGAAAACTGCCAGGAGGGGGGGGGGGGGGGGGGGGGGGGGGGGGTCCAGCGGAGAGACGCCGTGCCCGGGCTCAAACTCCACATCGCCATCCTTGGGTGACTGCGGTCTGCGAAGCTGCTGCCACGAAGCTTCTGGGGTATCCAGCGGAGTGAAGCACCACCCAGATGCAGATTTGGCTTCGCCATCTCTGGCGGGCTGCGACCTGCAAGCTGCCGCCAGGTTCGAGGGTTGCTAAGAAGTCCCGCCCGCGTGCATGGCGGCGCGCGTTCGGGCGCTTAGCTCCCGCGTTGAAGAACGCAGGAAGGAAGCAAAGGAGTTGGCGGGCGAACTGGGCCTCGCTCGCTTTTTGCACTATTTACCCCAGCAACGTACCCAATCCATTTGCACCAAGTGACAAGCGGCATTGGCCCAAGCTTGCCCAGACAATGGCAGTGCAGGCGCGGCGACGCGTTGGGCATGGCACGTGGGATGCGCACGCGGCACGATTAAGGGGGCAACAACAAAAGGACGAGGAGCGAAGGCCCAGGCTTGAGAAGGACAAGGGGGCGGGAACGAAGGGCAGGGGGAGGTTGCGCGGAGCGGGGGGGGGGGGGGGGCGAACCGTCGGCGCGGCAGCTGGAGAGGGTAGGCGGCACGGGGCAGAGGGCGACGACGAAACTGACGGGGGAAGACCGACGAATGTTGCTATTGCCTGTAGCTGTAGCACGCTGAAGCTGCAGCGCTGCATGCGCCATGTTGACGCGGCGCTCGACTAAATGATCAAACCTGCTCATAGTTAGTCACAGAAGCGTGTTTCCCTGCTTCCTTCCTGCACTTTTCAGCGCGGGGTGTGCACGCTCGAAGGTGCGCAACCAAATCTGCGGGCGGCCCGCGACAACGTCCCGCTGGACCCCCCAGCAGCCCGCGAACCTGACGACAAATTCGTAAGTAGCAGCATAAGATGATGTCGAATCTGAGTCTGGGTGGCGTTTCACTCCGCTGGGCCCGCAAGCAACCCTCGAAACCGGTGACAATTTCGCAGATCGCAGCCCCCCCCCCCCAGGGACGTCAGCCCGCTGGACCTCCCAGCCGCCTTCGAAGGTGGCGACAGCCCCGCAGATCGCAGCCCTTCAAAGACGGCGAGGCCAAATTTGAGTCCGCGTGAAACGTCGCTCCGCTGGGCCCACCAGCATTCCTTGAAAGCGGCGGCAGTTTCCCAGATCGCTGCCCCCCGAGGATGGCGTGGACTAGTTTGACCCCGCGTAAGACGTCACTCCGCTGGATCCCCAAGCAGCCGTCGAGCATGGCGACAGTTTTGCAGATCGCAGCCCCCCAGCGGTGACGAGGTCGAGTTTTGAGGTCGCGTACAACGTCGTTCCGCTGGACCCCCCCCCGCAACCTTCGAAACCAGTGGCAAGTTCGCAGATTGCGCATGTCAGCAGGCACGTTCAATCATTTTGTCGAACGCCGCGGCGTCATGGCGAAAGCAGCGCTGCATATTTAGCGTACGACTGACAAAAACAACACTCTTCGGTCTCTTCCAGTTCCCTCTGCCACCTTCCCTCTGATGCTGCCGCGCTGACGGTTCGGCCCCCCTACGCGTCATTGTCCTGCCCTTCGTTCCCGCATCTTTGTCCTCCTCAAGCCTGGGCCTTCGCTCCTCGTCCTTCTGATGTTGTCCAATGAAGCGTGCCACACGAGCGCGCCACATGTAGGTTGCACGGCATATAACGACGCCTGCAATGTCATGGTCCTGGCAAGTTTGGGCCAACGTCTCATGACACGTGATGCAAGTGGGTTGGGTACGTCGCAGGGCAAATTCAACTTGAGAGATTTTCGCGGGTTCCCATGGTCCACGTACAACAGACTGTGCTTCGGACAGGTTCAGGATTCAGAGGGTACAACAACTACATCAATTCGCAAAATCTATGTCCCAAGATTGGCGTTCTGGCGCGATCCAGGATCGTCAAAACGCAACAATCTAATTGATCAGTGGGGTCGGAATCCCTGGAATGCTGTTCTGGCACACTTCAGGCTCTTCATACGGTTGTCCTTCAACGAGGCAGTTCCTTCAGTGGACATGAGCCTTTACAGGGGCCTATTAAGAGGGAGTTTGGAGAGAGGGTCTATTACATCGTTGATGACTCTTGGGTTTGCACTGGTCCTCCTCCCCCTCCTCGACCTCCTCCTCCTCCTCCTCATCATCATCAGCTCCCTGCTCAATTTCCTCCCGCTCCTCCCTCCTCCTCCCTCCCCCGCCCCCCATCCTCCCTCCTGTCCCCGCTCCTTCCCACGGCGGGCCGCCGAGGCTCTGGCGGTTTGCTGCCAGCTGTCGCGGTCCCTCCTGGCCTTGTCGTTGCCTGCCGCGCCCTCCCCCGCAGAAGAGGAGACAGCAGCAGACAATGCAAATTTTGGGGGTTTCGCGCAGACTGTTTGGATCCGCGCTTGGCCAACCCAGGACGCGGGAGGCAGCAGAACTCCAGCGAGGCCAAAAACAAGATGGCATGCGACCCCGATGTTCCCAGCACACCACCACCCCACACATCCCCTGTAAGCGACTGGAAACCGGAGGACATCTTTGAGGCTGCATCTAGTTTCACATCCATTCATCCCAAGGCACGTTCAGACCCTGACGCACTCATACACAGACGATCATGCCAAGACTCAGATCGCCCCTATTCAGACCCCTAGTTGTCAGACCCGCTCATGCCCAGGCCAACTCCTAATCAGACCTACTCGTACCCAGCCGCTCAAATTCAAGAGTGAAATAATGAAAAACGCTGGAACACATGTACACTCATACCCAATCGTACCCGGAAATGTCGTACTCAGGCTACCGTGTCCCCAGACTCACTCACACTAATACTCGATCATGCTCAGACCCACTTAGTTGCATTCTCGCACTCACCCAGGCTCACTCAGACCAGCCACCTGGGAGGCTCTTCCACCACAAATCATTCACACGTTCACGCTCATGCGCAGAGGCATGCATACCCAGGATCATACACACCCAAGTCCACTCACAGTCAAATCCTCCCATGCTCAGCCGCTCATACTAAGCAACACCCACGCCAAACATCAAACGTGCACCCACTCACACCCAGACCCGCTCACACTCATAAAATGTCCACCGGCACGCGCCGCTTCACGGACCCACGTTCTCAAATATTTTGAAAACCGAGAACCGGCCCCCGAACCGAACTGGCCGAACCGGACCGGTCCTCGACCCGAACCGGCCGAACCGGACCGCGCCAGCCTCTGACCCGAACCGGCCGGACCGAACCGGCCCGACGAACCGAACCGGCCGAACCGGACCCCCCCTCGGAGCTGGAGGGGCGGGGGGACCTGACACCCCCTCAGGACGGCGGGGATCGGAGGGGACCTGACCCCCTCTCAGGACGCGGCGGGGGCGGGGGGGGGACCTGACCCCCTCAGGGCCCTCTTGGAGCCTTGCGGGGCCCGCCTGCATGGGAGGCCCAGGAGCGCCCCCAGCGGGCCCCGAGAGGGCCCTTAACGCGCATGTCGTGCGCATGTCGTGGCCCTGGGGCCCAGGACGACGACGACATGCGCACGACATGCGCCCTGGGGTCCTTCTTGGGGCTCTCTTGGAGCCCTCCTGGGCCCTCTTGGGGCCTTGCGGGGCCCGCCTGGGAGACCCAGGAACGCTCCCAGAAGGCCCCGAGAGGGCCCATAACGCGCATGTCGCGCGCATGTCGTGGCCCTGGGCGGGACCTGACCCCCCCTCAAGACGGGACCTGAACCCCCCCTCAGGACCTGACCCCCCCTCAGGACGGAAGGCGAAGGCGCCGCGGGACCTGACCCCCCCTCAGGACGGACGGCGCCGCGGGACCTGACCCCCCTCTCAGGACGTGCAGCGGCGCGGGCCGCAGGACCTGACCCCCCCTCGGGACCTGACCCCCCCCTCGGGACCTGACCCCCCCCTCGGGACCTGACCCCCCCCCTCGGGACCTGACCCCCCCTCCGGGACCTGACCCCCCCCTCGGGACCTGACCTCGGGACCTGACCCCCCCTCGGGACCTGACCCCCCCTCGGGACCTGACCCCCCCCTCGGGACCTGACCCCCCCCCTCGGGACCTGACCCCCCCTCGGGACCTGACCCCCCCCTCGGGACCTGACCCACCCCTGACCCCCCTCGGGACCTGACCCCCCCGGACCTGCCCCCCCCCTCAGGACCTGACCCCCCCTCAGGACGGACGAGGACCTGACCCCCCCTCAGGACGGGACCTGACCCCCCCTCTCAGGACGACGGGGGACCTGACCCCCCCTCAGGACGCCGGGGATCGGAGGGCCGCTCCCGCTCCCTCGTCCCTCCCTCTGCCGCTTCCTCCGTTCCTGCTGCCCCCTCCCTCCCTCGTCCCTCCCTCCGTCGGCCCTCCTCCGTCGTCCCTCCTCCCCCCTTCGTCCCTCCTTCCTCTCTCCTCCCTCTCTCCTCCCTCTCTCACACTCTGCCGCTCCCGCTCCCCACTCTGCACGTCGTCGTCGACGTCGACGTCGTCGACATCGTCGTCGTCGTCGTCGCCTCATGTCCAAGAATTCGGGGAACCGGAAACCCTCGGCCGAACCGAACCGGCCGAACCGGACCGAACCGGCCGGTTAACCGAGCGACCGAACGGGACCGGCCGAACCGGACCGGCCAATATACTCGAACCGGACCGGATGGACCGAACCGGACGGCGATCTGAACCGGACCGGCCGCACCGACACGAAGGCGCGCCGAACTGGACCGAACCGAACCGAACCGGGGCCATCATGTCGAAACCAAACGTCGGCATGATCAATCGCACGTGCTCAAAACGAACACACACACATGGTCAATCACGGCCAGACCATCGCATAGCAAGGTTTACCCATCCTCAACCGCGCGGGCAACATCACGCATTCCAAAACTCACAAATACTCAGGCTCACTCCCGATCCCACCCACTGGTACGCAATCCCACTCAGATTCATAATCGCTTGCTTTCAGAAATCATCAATCCTGGGTAGATCCATCCATATTCAATGGTATTCAACCGCTCACACACTAATGCACTTACATTCAGACTTACTCGTACGTAGCAAAACATATACTTTCCTAAAACGAAAAACCATCCCGCAATTGCTTCACAGCTATAGACAATATGACACTGGACAAGCCAGAATTGCCACACGAGACAACAGCAAGAACGCACTCGCGAAAGGAGGAATGAGAGTGAGCAGGTAATGAGGCGGACGGCGAGCACGAGCCAACATCTACACCTACCCCCCCTTCCCTGACTTCCCCTCGGATCCTAAAGTGACAAAAAATCGCGATCCTGGATGCATGTATGGTCCCCCCCCCCTGGACAAATCCCCCTCTGGACAAATCCCCCCCTGGACAATCGCCCCCCCGGGCCCGCCTCCCGCGATCGGGACGCCGTGGCGTGGCCCGCCGCTCCGCCCCCGCCCCCCCCCGCCTCCCCGCCCCCTCCGCCGGAGTGCGGGCTGAACCCGCCGACGCCAGAAGCCTGGCGCGCCGCGCTGGACGTGGTCGTCGTCACCGTCCGCCCGTCGCCGTCGGCATCGGCGGTGGCGTATTTGTAGTCGTCGCCGCCGTCGCCGTCGTCGGAGGGGGGGAGGGGGAAAAAGGTGGACGGACGTGCGATGGGGCAGAGAAACAAAGGAGGATGAGGAGGAGGACGAGGAGGAGGAGGACGAGGAGGAGGATGGAGGCATAACAGGGGCAGGGGGAGGAGGAGCATGGCTCAGGCGGAGGATGGTTGTTCATTGGGGCATGGGGGAAGGAGGAGGAGTGTTGCTTACTGTTCACGCCCTTCCTTCCTACTTTGTTGGCCTGCTTGGGAGGGGCTCGTCGCCATGGTCAGATCCGTCTCGAGGTTCTGGTCAGAAGGCGCCCCAGAGGCCTGAGTGGTGGCGCTTTTGAGGAGAGATGGGGCTCGAAGGATTGCGAAGTACAGGGAGGTAGGACGGCCAAAGAGGAGCACCACTCAGCTGGGGGCCAAAGGTTGTTCGACAGCACCGCGAGCAAGTGCACTGACACAAGCGACTGCTGCCGCCGTCGAGCTTCCAGGTGGCGCGTGTAGCAGAGCTTTACCCCTTGCCGCTGACACGGAAGCAATCAAACATTGTAGTACATATGTAGCATCTAACGCGACGGCGGAAACGGAGACTGCCCCTAGCCAAGGCATGCTGGCTAGATACAGTACGAGGATGCAGTCAGGCCATGGAAAAAGAGGACAACGTAAACATTGATGGTCCCGCCTGCCCTCATACCACAACACCCCATGCGGCACCTCTGGGCTCCCGTTCTCGACCGTTGCGAAATATCCCGCCCAAAAACATGGAATTGTGAACTATATGACGGCAGATGGTCTGAATATGGAGGGCCACGGGAATGAGATCGTGAGCACAAGCATCTGGCGTTCAGGGGCGAAACGGGGAGGCAAGCCAGCAATGTACACGCCACTGGCGAAGACGAGCAACAACAGCCCGCTGCCAAATAGCTTGAAATCTGTGGACCGATTGTCAGCTGGGACTCGACCTTCACAACTTCGCACTGGGAAAGACGACTAAGTTGAGGCCGAAACAGAACATCAGAGCGCCAAACTAGTCTGGGGACAATAATGCCAACCGAACGCAATGTGGATCCCCAGCGACGTGCCGACTCAGTCGACCCTTAGTATAGGGACGCAGCTTCCATGTTCGAGGCCTTGGTGCGCAGCGGTAATTTTTCCCGGATGCAACTGAAGCCTAACAATAGTACCAACAAGCTTGATACGATTGGTGTATAGTGCATAGTGCATGTTTATAGATCTTGTTCATGTTAGTACAGTACAATGCCAGGTCATTGGCAAAGACTGACAGCATGGCAGGCACAGTGAACAACATCGTCCACTGCAGAGAGCTGACCACAGGATCGGCAATGAGGACGGATAGCGCTCCATTCATGGGGCGCTCCTGCTGAAGACCTCGGGCAATGGAGTAGGACTTCGATGTGCCTTGAAGACCAGATTGCGAGGTCTGGGTCGCTGGCGCGGTGAATCAGACAATGATGCATATCAGCCCTCAGTTCAAAAGCGTCGGCGGCGCTGGAGCGGCGGCGCTCGGGAGAGCCGACAATGATAACGGGGGGGGGGGGGAGAAGGATGCTCCATGCTTCTGCAGGCCAGGGTCGTCTCGCCTCGCTCGCAACCGAGCTCCAAAACCAAATTTGGCTGACTGAACAACAGCGATTGCGGCCAGCACAGAACATTCCAGACTGCACGCTACTGGCTTGCTGCTACAGGCCCCATGTTCCCCCTGGCCAGGACATCCTCGTTGCGCTTGCAGCCGAAAGGTGAGAGGCGTGCCGCAGCTGGCCCGCTGCCGACGACCGCCGACATGTGCGACCTGGCGGTCGAGGCGGCCCTTTCGTTCCAACTGCCAAACGAACTCCAGGAATGGTTTACGCTACGCCAGTGCCCCATCGGGGGGCGAGATCCGGAGCGTCCGACTCAAAGACTCGAGCCCAGAGCTGGCCCACAGCACCCATGCCTTCGAACCATTGGATGCTCCCAACACGTACACAGCTGGGCTTCGCAACGGCCCTGAGGAACATGCAGCGCTATGCTGCCAGCAAACGATCGACGCCGCCGCGCGCCAGGGCGTGTCGAAGCGACACTGCATTGTCTTTACAAACTTCGCATGCAACAAAAGGTCAGCCATGGCTGGCTGTCTCCAACACCAAGAGTTCGCTGGCCGTGCAAACGAGAGGCTGGCACGTGATGTTGATACAGATTCTGGTGGCACGGAGCGATGCACGCAGGAGACGATGGCCAGAAGCTGCTGTGGCCGCATGGACATCTGCGAGGATACAAGCCCCCGGGTCGCTTGAAGGATTTGGAAAGGGCCCCCCGGACATCAGAGTTCCCCGGCGAGCAATGAAAGCCAGCCTGAGAGGGCCCGCTGGGCCCTGGAAAATGTTTAAAACTTGACGTCTTACGCTCTTCTTAACGAGGCCTTGCTGCTGCGAGTGCGGGGAGCCCTTAGACTAAGCTACCCGGCTAGTATTGCGGAGAGCCTTCGCGAGGGCCCCGCTAGCCAGCTTGCGCGAGAACAGCTAAAGGAGAATATGCCCATTCAAAGGAGGCCCACATCTGGGAGCCATGTCTCGAACAGTTCGACGCGGTTGAAACGTAGCCTCGCCTCGACGTTGTCAGCTGACTCGGACGGGGGCAGCTGTCGACCCGCGGAAGGGTGTCCAACCTTTTATCTCCCGCGAGCTTGTATCGCGCCTCCGCGCGCTCTAGTCTGGGACCCACCTGCCGCGGCGCTGCCTGCCGTCGAACGCTTCAATTCGCGAGACTGGCCGGCGCGGCGAAGGATGCGCGGCGCGAGCCCTAAGCTCTCGAGGCCGACGCATGCAGCCGCTTTTTTGTTCATGGCAAAGTGAGCTGGAGCCGACCGCGGGGAGAGGCGAACCGCGCGTAGCTCTCCTGCCGCGCGATCCGCTCCAGCATAATGTCCAGGCGCTTCCTCCAGGGGCTGTCGATCAGGATCGAATCGCGAGAAGCCCGCGTCTCGGCGGGCCGCGGTTCCTTTCGGCGCCGACGCCAAGCGACAGTCGCCTCCTGCCCCCGGCAGGCCGGGCGCCGCGCGGTTGGCCCGCGGCGGGCGCAGCTCGCCGGGATCAAATTGGCTTCCGCCGCCAGCGCCACCCACCGCCACCGCCGCCTGCTGCTGCTGCTCGAGTCACGCCAACGCCAGCGCGGCGGCCGCGATGACAGCCCGCGGCGCTGGCGCCCACGCACGCGGCTGCAGCGGGCACCTGCGGCGCCCGCGCCACCCTCTGCTGCTTCAGCGGTCGCCCTGCGCGATGGAGCCGAGGCCGCAGGCGGTCCGCTACCGCCGGCGTGGCCCCGCTGTTGCAGGGCGGGCCCCTCGCGCCGGCGCGTCGGCAGCGTGCGCGAGGCCGTCTGTCCCGCAGAAGTCGATGACGCGTGCCAGCCTCATCTCGTAATCCTCCATCGTCTCGTCCGACGAGCTCCCCTGCTCCATGACGGTCGGCCTGCCAGCGTCGGTCAGCCTCGCACCTGCCCGCGCCCGCGCGCCAAATGCCGGCGGCGCCAAGCCGCCAGGGGGCCCGTCGATTTTGCGCGCAATGGACGACGCGTCGTCGATGAACAGCGCGGCGGCCTTGCCGAGGCAAGTCAGGCTGGCGCCTCTATGCAAGAGGATGGCGCCTGAATCCCGCGGCCCTTCGTGCCGGGTGCGTCGTGGCAGCTGCCTCTCGACGTCCGGTTCGCCGCTGCCCCCGCCCCCGGCGCGTCTGCGCCGCCTGCGTGGCTCGGGCGGCGCCGCCGCGCAGATCGGGCGCCTCTCCGTCCGCTAGGCGCCGGCTGTCTCCCAGCGCGGCTGCAGAGGCCGTCTCAGCAGGCGCGTCGAGACGTGAACTTGGCCATTGCTGGACTTAGTTCGCCGGCGACCCATCGAACGCTGGCGCGATGCAAAAATGGCCAGCGGAAGCGCTGCCGAACGGGCGGCAACAGCGCGAGAACGGGCGCTAATCGCCCTGTCTCCGGACCCAATGCCATCCCCATGCTGTCGCACAGAAAGAAATGAAGCCTGCGACGATGTTGGGCCTGTCTACATATGAATTTCCCACCTAGTCACACTGCCCTCCGCGCCTCAAGCGCATCGCCCCCAGGCTGCAATGCAGTCCTCCAGCCACCCACCTTGGTCAACGATAAGGGAAGGTGTAGAAACCTGTGTTTTTTTGCAGTCGGCGATCTTCTCGGGGTCGTTGATGAAGACGCTTTCCATGGCAAGTCGGTGGATCTACCATGAACGCCTCTTCCCCGCCCGCGCTTGACCCCCCTCACAAAGGGGCCCCCCCGAAGGCGGATCGCGACGCCGACTGGCCCGTTCCAGTCGCGACGCGCAAACGTTCGCTCCAGCGCGCCACGCGCTGGGCGTCGGCCCCCTTGAAGTCGGCCCTTGCGCGACGCAGCCCCTCCGCGCTGCGCCCGAGCAGGTGGCCAGGGAAAACCGAACTCGACAGAGATCAAAGGAAGCACGCGCATGGCTTCGAGCAGCTCATCATGGCGCGCCGCCGGACAGGGCGCGCCCGGGGCCCCGCGGCGCCGCCGCCGAAAGCTACGGCCGGAACAGGAGGCGCACGGGGCTTCGTGGTCGAGCAGCATGGCGCGCGCGGAGTGGCCGATTTGATTCTACGCGCCCCAGACAGCTACCAGCCGCCACAAGAGTAGCGCCTTCGCGCCCTGGACCAGCCCCCATCTCTTCGGCGAAGCTAGGCACCGTAGCTCGACGCCATCCAGCACCAGGCCCAGCGCTTCGACGGCGCGCCTGCCCTCAATCGCCTCGTGCTGGGGGGGCTGGGCGCTGGGCGGCAACTTAGCGACCCGCTTCCCGGCCGCCGTCGTGGCCCCCGGCGGCGACGACGCGCCCGCCTCGCGCGCCCCGACCAGCCTCGCGCCGAACAAGGGCGCAACGCAGTGGGGCACCGCGAACTGGTAGAAGCAATCTGCAATATTATAAATGGAACTCCGGCACATATACAAGCCCCGCCTCGAAGCCCACCAGCGCCGCCGTAGGCGCCAAGTGCGTGAGGGTAGGCCGTTGAGCAGATTGGTCGACGGCCCCGGCATCCCCGATCAGGCGCGGGCACCTTCTCGCGAACTTCGCAAACGCGGCGGGCGCGAATCTCCGCCGCGCCTCGCTTCAGCAGATCCTGAACCAAAGACGCGTAATCAGCTCTTCGCGACAGTAGGGTCTTATCCCACTGGACCTCGCAGCCTGCCTGCGGCGACCCCTCAGGTCGAGGAAACAGAGAGCGGGGGCCGTCGATCGCCTCCGCGCGGTCAAGGTCTGGCAGCGCGCCCTGCCGGTTGAGCCAAGCGGTGTCCGGCTACAATGCGAAGCCGCGGCTATCGGCGCAACAGCTGAGAGGACCTCAGACGCGTAGTCGAGGGCCTCAGCGCCGGCAACTCCTTGAGGGCTGCCTCGAGAGCGGGCGACTGATCCGGTGGCTCGCCATCAGCAACTTCACGCCGTGCACTAACCAGCGCGGAAAACGGTGCCTGAGACGGTCCAGCACCCAAAGAGTACGATCATTCCCCGTGCAAGCTGTTCAGGACGGTTAGGCAGTCGTTCGAACGTCGGCCGACGGTCGCCTTCCTGCCCAGCCGTTGAGCATCGCGGCGGTACCTCGACTTCCTCCGTTTCGGAACCAGTCTCCAAGCACCACTCTCCAGTGTCCAGCCTAGGTCCCGCACTGGGGACGGCCAACCCCCAGTCATCGCGACCGCTATTACATATGAGGAGCGCGCGCCGATGCACGCCCCTCAGCGGCCTTCCTCTTCTCATGCAAGATGGTTGGGTCGCGCGACGCCGACTCCGCCGCCCATTTCATAAGCTCCAGGCTCTGGATGGCGCATCCTGTGTGCCTGGTGCGCCCTGGCTAGCCACTCGCTTCTTCTTGACCCGCTGCTCGATGCGATGAACGGTGCGGCACAGGCACTCCATGCTCGCCACATTCGAGATGACGCGCTGGTCGCACGTTGTGGCCAGCTCGAGAATCTCGGACAGCAGCTCGTGAGTCACCGCGCTGTGCTCATCCTTTGGCAGCCTGTCTCCTGCCTCCAGGCCGCGTGACGTTGTAGAGGGCCGTCGCTCTGCCTCGCGATCTACCTGACTACGTAGAGCGCCGTGCGCGGGTAATCTAGGATCCTGTCCTCGAAGATCGACTGATCCGACGAGCTTGCTACGCTTCTCATGTCCCTGAAAAGCTTGCCCGCGGCATCCCGCGTAATGGGGGGTGGCGCGAGCATTTTCGCAAACCGCCGCACCAGTGGCCCCCGCCCGAAGAGTGTCTGTGCCTTTGAAAGGGGCTCCCTTCGACGACACGAGGTGGTCGAAATTGGACAGCCCTTCCTTCACTGACCCTCCCTCCTCCATTCGATACATTATGGCCGGTTCGCCATGGCGGCCGAAGTCGCACAAGCCGAACTGGGTGATGCCCGAGAATTTGTCCGAGGGCGTGTTCCAATGGCTGGGCAGCTTGAACAACTTGCCCACCGTCACCGCCGAGGGATGGGGCCACGACACACATCCCCTTGAACTGCTCCAGGACCTCGTGGACCTCCGAAGCCCCCGGAAGGGGAAAAAAGGCACGACGGCGCCCGCCGCACCTGCCCCCGTCGGCTGCGGCTTCATGTTCTCGGACGGCAGCCCCAGCGTGGCCCTTTCCTCCATTGCCTTGGCGCGGCCCTCCTTGAGCAACCCCGCCAAATCGTCACCGCGGGGCCGCTTGGTGAACCAAAACACCGGCTGGCCGCGTGCTGTGCCAAACCCAGCCGACACCCCCCCCGCTGGGGCCGACCTGCCAGAAGCCCTCCAGGCACTCCTGGTCGATGATCTCGACAAAGACCTCCCCATCTGGCGGGAGCAGGACATAACATCAGGCGCCCACGACCGCAAAGACGAGGCGTTCATGCAAGGGCTTCCCTTCGCACGCCATAGTTCAGGTACGCTACGTCCCCGGGCGTGAGGCCCAGGAGCATTCGCCTTCGGGGACCGCCACCGACATCTTCCAGCTGAAGGGAAGAGGCGGAACGAACGCCGGTGCTGCCACCGCCGACAGGTTGTGAGAGAAGAATCCCACCAACACGAGCCTCGCAGTCACGTAACATGAGCAGCAGACCACCTGATTCACGAGCACGAGCGGCACGCCCAAGTAGAACAAGAGCACGACGCCCGCCACCGACAAGCCCAGCGGCACCAGGGTGGCCCAGATGCCCTGCGAGCTCAGGCGGGTGGCTGTGGTGGAGACGGCCAGCGCGCACGGGCTGGCCGGAAACGCGGCGGAATCGCCTAGCGCCGATGAACTTCTGGAGGCGTGTGACCACGAAAGAATGGGCCAGCCGGAATCTCCCATCCGAGACCTTGAAAACCGCTTGAGTAAGAACTTATATGGTTTTCGCACGTCCCAGCACAATCCCATGGTGCCTGGCGCACGCAAAGTGGTGGCGAGGTCATGGTGTCGGAAGGGGCAGACAGGAGGAACTATCTGGGGAGCCAGAGGGCGAGAGGGGGGGAATATGGGCGGACAGGAGGAGCAAAAGGGGGATGATGGAGTAGCAGGAGGAGGATACTGCAGATGGAGCGGGGGGGGAACGGGGAAGAAAATGCGAGAGGGGACACGGGGGAAAACACCGCCGAGGAAAGAGGCGAAGGAGGAGGAGGAGGAGGAGGAGGAGGAGGAGGAGGGGAGGACCTTCACGATCGCCCTTCTCGTCCTTCGCCCTCCGTATCCGCTCCCTCGCTCCTCTCCACATGGGGTTCACCGTCGCTCGCTCTCGTCCCACGTCCCTCGCCCTCGTCCTCGCCCTCATGGCCCTCCCTCCGCCATTCTCCTCGTGTTGATCGCCGTCGTCATCGTCGTCGTCGGCGATCTCAGGGAGAGCGTCGAAAGCTCAATGGGCACACTGCGTGAACAAAAACTCGGCGCAGGAGCTATGGGACCAAGGGGGAGCAACAGATGTTTGAGGAACGTCCGCCCGTGAAGCATGCGGGTCCCCTCCAGAGCCGGGTCGGCACTTTACGTCCACCGCACCCGACAATCGATGCTGTTGTGGGGTGCGCGTGTGGTGCGTGGCTGCGGTTTGCGTGCTTGTGCTTTGCGGGCTGGGTCCTGTGTGTCGTGTGTGGTGCCGTTGCCTGGCCGTGTCGCCTGAAAACGAGCCGCGCGTTGCTTCACGACGCGCGATTCGTCCGAGGCCCCTTGGCCGATGGCCGTGACTGGGTGCTTCCAGACGTACCTTGCCGCGCACTTCGACCGTGACGCCATTATCCTCCATCTACTTTTTGCCATGCTCCCCCGACTCTCCACTGCTCAATCTCATTCTATCGCCCGCGGCCAACGAGCCTGATAAGGCTGAATCGTCGGCATCGTGGAGACGTTGACGTTGCCGCCAGACCCAGCCCTCATCGCAGAAAATGCGTTTGAACAGTGTCGCGTCAAATCATGGCAAAGCAGACGCTAGCAACATGTGCCGTCCCCTAGAAGCTACCAACTGTGTGCGGGACAAGGTTGACGTCCTGAAACACGAACCCGAGCTCGATCGAATGGCAACCGTGAACAGAGCGGCCAGCTTGCAAGCTGTGCCCGCTGTGCCCTCGAACTCCCGCGCAACGCGTTATCCTTGCCAGCGCGAATCCAAAGCAATGGGCCTTTGCACTCACGACGGGGTGCTACCTGCAAGGTGCACGGTGCAACCCAATACATTTTCTCTACGTGGTGCAAGATATTGGGAGCAGCCGGGTCGGGTGACGCCACCTGCGCGATCCATGCACCAACAAACTCGAGTGTCCGAACAAGAGAAACACCCACCAATCCGCAATTTGTGGGCAACACCCAGACAGGGCAGACGTGCAGGTACCGATCAGAACCTGTCTGCGCATCCCAATCGGCGACATGACGTGCGGACCAGCTCTTGAAAATTCATGGCCCAGGTGGATGCTGTGCTGGGGGTGACGTCGGCAAAAGTAACGACGAACACAACTATTATACCAGGGCTAGTCGTGGCGATGGCTTGGTTGGCCGACGGCAACGACGGTGGCGTTGGAGACGGTGGCGAGGACGACAAACGAATGATGGCTCGGAGATGATGGTGGTGATGATGACGCGTGGCGAGGTCTTGGTGGGGCACATACGACGTGTAAATTATTGAGTACAGGGCGCGCCAGGACAGCAAACCCTTGAAATGCATTGCGCGAACGGAAGACGCTAACCAATGGACGCCCCGACCTTGTTGCAAGCACCCCATACCTGCCACTCTCTCCGTGTTTGTCTCTGCCCCTCTCTTCCTGTCTCACTCTCTATCTCTCTCTATCCCTCTCCCTGTCTCACTCTCTCTCTCTCTCTTTCTCTCTCTCACGCTTACTCTAGTCTATGTGACGCATATGCGCTCTCAACTCGCCTTGCAATCCGTTTGTCCCGCTACACATGAGAGCACACCCGCAACCATATGTATACATATCTGTGTGTATGCAAACATACGTGAACATGTGTGCATATATGTATATATATATATATATATATATATATATGCATACATACGCCGTGGTCGTCCTGCCTACCTCTCGCGCTCGCTGTCGCCTTCTCCTTGTTTCTGGTCCTGCCCGTGTTCAGCATTATCGTGTGCGTCTTACTCTCTTGAACGTTCCGCCTACAAGGTATACGATCGCCACTCTTACCCAACTACCACGATGGATTGACATATACACTACAGCCTTGCACCTGTGCATGTATCCGTACAAGCACACGTATACATACATGTATGGCAGTGGTCGGAAACATTGTCCCTCTCGCTCTCTCTCTCTCTCTCTCTTTCTGTCTTGCTCGACTCCACCCTCTCTGCTAAACTGCTCTCAACTGCCGCCGTCTCCCCCAATCTCCGCTACGACCCCTTCAGCGCACACGCTTGTTGGGAAGTGCGCGCTCCGTGGGTTGCGGGCCTAACTTAAAAATAGATACTGGTAATTCGGTTTCCCCTCTCTGTCTATCTAACGATTCGTCTCCCTCTGTCGATATCCCCCGCATCCTATATGAAGCTCGTGTTTCCGTCGCAGGGACCAACCGGGAACACGCAGGTACACGCACACATCAACACATCATCACCATACCCACCACCTTCATCATCGCCATCGTCATCTTCATCACCATCATCACCATCATCATCATCACCACCACCATCATCATCACACACACTCGCGCGCTCACACGCACACGCACTCCCTCGCACACTCATCGTGAAGAAGTTTCGAACAGGTCCTTCGTCTTTGAGTGAATCGCGAGGAAGTCTCCAGCGAAAGCCCCTCCCTATGGGGTCCCCATGTCACGTTGGCAACCTGCGGCGGCCATCATACCACATACCCTGTAAAAGAATTGGCGTCACCGAGGAGCCTGAGTCCCGAGGAAGTCTCGAGCGGGAGCCTCCTAGTGAGCAAAAAGACAGGTCTCGGGCACTCACTCGTCTGTGAGTGGATCGCGAGGACGCCTCCATCGGGAACCCTTCCACATGGGAGATCCCACCTCTGCAGCAGGCATAACACTTGAGCACCCCAACGGGGAAAATCGCGAGGATGTCTCGAGCGGAGGCCTTGTCTGTGAGCGACCAGCGAGGAAAGATTGAGTGGTAGCTCTCTCCCTATGGGGACCCCGCATCACGTTGGCAATCCCAGCGGGTCTGCCACTTACTGTACCAGGCATAACACTTGATCACCCCGACGGGGCAAATCGCGAAGTCGAGCGGAGGCCTCGAAGCTCTCCCTATGGCCCCGCCACCTCATGTTGGCAATCCCATCGAGTCACCTGCCTACTGTAGCAATCTTACCCATTGAGCAACCAATAGACGCGAATCGCAATGATGTCTCGAGCGGGGGCCTCGTCTGTGAGTGAATAGCGAGAAGGTCTCGAATGGAAGCCCTCTCCCTATGGGGCCCCAGCTTCACGATTGCAGTCCCAGCGGGTCATCGACCTTCTGTAGCAAGCAAATCACTTGAGCACCCCAAGGGGGCAAATCGCGAGGATGTCTCGAGCGGGGGCCACGTCTGTGAATAGCAAAGAAGTCTCGAGCGACAGGCGGGGGCGCATAGGTTACACAGGCCCCACACGACTTGGGGCCAACGGCCCCCACAGATGGCACAGGTCCAGCAGGTTCCAAACGGCCCGCCAGTCCCAAAGGGCCCACGGGTCACAAAGGCCCCACAGGTCCCACAGGTCCCATGAGCCTCATAGGTCCCACCAGTCACACTGGTCGCACAGGTCCCACAAATCCAACAAGTGCCACATGCCCCACAGGTCCCACAGCCCCCACAGGTCCCACAGGCCCCGCAGGTCCCACAGGTCCCACAGGTCCCGCACGTCCTACAGGGCTCGCAGGTCCCACAGGTCCAACAGCGCCACAAACCCTACAGGCCGCCAAGGTACCACGGGCCGCACAAGTTTCACAGGTCCCACAGGCCTCACAAGTCCCAGAAATTCCAATGGCCCGACAGGTCCCACAGGTCCGACAGAGCCCGCAGGGCCCCCAGGCCCTACAGATCTCAACGGTCCCTCAGGTCGCACAGGCCTCGCAGGTCGCACAGTTCCCACAGGTCGCAGGACTCCCACAAGCCCAGCGCGTTTCAAAAGCCCCACGGGCCCCACAGCACCTCAACGGCCTCACAGGTCGCATGCTGGTACTCTGACAGCATCACCCGCTTTAGTCCTCGATGATGAAGACGCACATGACCATGCAACATATTATCCTGCGGGGTCCTTCCGACCGACTAAGTTATGTGGTGTTTTGATTGTTTGCTTGTTGTTCCACACGTTCTCTCTCTCGCTCTCTCGTTCGTTTTCCCTCTGTTTTTCTCTCTCTCTCTCTCTCTCTCCCTCCCGCTGAATCTATATATATATATATACATATATACATATATGTATGCACATGTACATCCATGTCCTTCAATGTCTGTGCAGCCTCTCTCTCTCGCGCGTCCTCAATCATTCGTTCTGTAGTCCGAATCATGTTGTCTGTGTTTCCCATTTTCTCTCAGTATTACACTACTTATCACCTCACACTACCAAAGCGATGTTATCTCCCTCACTCTCTCTCCCTCTCCCCTCCATTTGTTTTGTTTATCTTCCCTCTCCCTATCTGTGTTCAACTCTGCTCTCTACGATCTCAAATGTACTATTCACTCTCTACAGTGTACTGTCTCATGATGGCTATGGACCCAACCTGTAGCCGCAACCACATATTCGAACACCTCTGAACCATACAACGCCGGGAACTTTGGACCTGGAACAAACCGACCGGGACAACTGCCCATCGAAATCGGACCGGAACACTGACTGGGGAACCCAAGTCTGGGATCCCTGAGCCCAGCCGCCTACCCGAATCGGCCAAGTACCTTCACTCAGTCTTGCAATACCCTCTAGGACCCCTTCAGTGCCAGCAGTGCGTTGGGAGTGCAGTGAACGAAACATGTGTTTGCATGGTTTCGTCATGCGCGCGCGGGGACGCGCACGCAAAACCCCTAACAATATACGATGTGACACATACTCGGCGCGATGGCTTTGAATAGTGTTGCCGTGCGCGCGCGCGTGGCCCGCGTGGTCTTGTTCGACAGGAATGACAGCAACCATTCGCAGAAAACATGGAACACGTTGTTTGGTTCCAATCGTTGCCCCGTTTTTTTACAGAGCACAAAGAAGTCGAGCTTTCAATCCTTACGGGGGCTCATATGTGTGATCTGACTTCGAAGCGCGCCTGGGGGGCACACGCGTGTGGACACCATGCTGCTGCGAGAGAAAGGGGTTATTCCAGAACGCATTTGTTTGACCAGCGCCTGCGAACAGCATTGTATGACAGGCGGTCGAATCCCGTATGTCTGGAATTTCATGATTTCGCATATAGGAAGTGTCGGGGACCCTATGTCTGGAATCGTACGACTTTGAACATGGAAGGAGGGCGTCGGTGTGACAGGGCCAACGTCACGCATGCGAAGTGGGACGAAGTGGTGCCCACGAGTGGGGTTGCGGAAAAGACGCTCAAGAAGCAGCACCATCAACGTCAACGGATTTGGAGTCCGAAACGGTGCGGTGACAGACCGTGCAGTGACCTAGAAATCCCCCAAGACCTCTCCGCACGGTCCGTCACCGCACGGTCTTGTGACCCGAGAGGCTCCTGTCGCCCGAGACATCCTCGGAGAACGACCCGAGTCCCAAAACCGTGCGGTGACCCCGAATCCCCACCGACTCACCGCACGGTATGGTCACCACACCGTTTGGGGGCCCCCGAACGGAGTAGAAACAGAAACGGATGATCTGGAGTCAGGACGGCGACGACGAAGAGGAGAACGAGGACGAGAACAACGAGGAGGACGGGCACGCCGAGACAGACGGTCCCGCTGTCGCCCGACAGGGGAACGGCCAAGA